ATTACCATGGCCAAACTCTAGAACTTCTCTGGAACTCAGTTTCCTCCTAAAAATCTCTACTTCTTAAGCATGCTGTGAGGGTAATGAGATGAACTAGGGAAAGAACCAGTGTGGTGCCTGACACATGATGAAGCCCCGCCCTTCTTACCTGCCAACTCATGGACAGTGGCTTCTACTGAAGCATCAGGAAGCATTCTGGGCACATTGTAGAAGAGAGGCTTGTGCTCAGTTTGTAATGCTGGCCATAGGCAGGAAGTGGTCACACATATGCCCCCCCATAGGAGGTGTTCAGTAAGGGCTGGACGCCGTCTGGCCAGGCCAGCTTCCCACTCTAGAAGCTTCAGGCCAGTGCCTGGAGTGGAAAGAAAATAGGTGTACCCAGCTGAGATGGCGAGTCTCCCAGACAGAGCACAGAAACCCAGCTCAAGAAGAGAGCTTGGCAGAATCCCCCCTCAGCTGCCAGGAGTCTCTGCCTGCTTCAGATGTACCTCCAGGTAGAGAAGAGATAGCACCTCAGGGAGCCAATCATCTTCTGGAGCATTCATCCCACTCAGCACAGAAGATCTAGAAAATCCCACGTCCCATTAGTCTCCTGGAGCCACACTAGTCAAGAGTGAGCTGACTTGGACTAAAAAAAGGGAAAATAACGTACTTCATTCTCCCTGCTTTCTGTAGAAATCTCTGCCACCTTGTCCAGACCATTCCCCTTCTCCTTCTGCTTCCCCATCCCAGAGTCTCCCATCTTCTCCTCCTCTGTCTTAGCAAACTGTTGCGGACATGGCGCAGGCTTCCCAGGTATGCCCCAGATCCCAAGATAGGCAGGACATATGCTTACCATTCCTCCCCAGGTGGACCCCCAGAGCCCAGGGAAACCAAACAAGGGGCCACTATTTCTTAACGCCCCCCCCCTCCACCCGCTGTGCCAGGCCCTGTACTAGGTGCCACACTGCTCTATATTATGCAATCGACACAGTATTGCAAGGTGGCCTTTATCAGCTCTTCTGGCCCCTGAGGAACACTGAGGCTCAGAGAGGTGGAGTGACTTTCCCAGGGTCAGGCAGCAAGGATAAAAGAGGGGGCAGGGGGAACACTGTGCCAGCTCTTCCCAAATCATGCTGAACTCTGTCTATAAGACATAGCCAAGGGGGAAGTAAGTGGCATTTGGATGAAAAGTGGCCAGGGTGGTCCCCCTGAGAGGTAGAAAGTCTCCCCAAGGGGGCTCAGGAGGGGCAGCAGGTCCATCTTGAGGGATGTCTAGGGCCTGACACATAGCTGGTACTTAATACCATTGCATGAATTGCTGCTCTCTTGAAAGGTATCAGGGCTCATTCATTCACTGATTCAGCAAACATTAGCTGACCGCCTACCATTCATTCTTTCATGCATCAGTCATGCATTCAACAGGTTCATTCATGCACTGAGAACCCACTATGTGCCAGCCACTATTCCAAGTGCTGGAAATAGAAGGAACAGACCCATCTCCTGCCCTCATGGTGTTTACAATCTAGTATAAGGAGATTGAAAAAGGATGTATGTAAATTCACACGTGCATGAAATCATCTCAGACAGTAATACACGCTACGGAGGTAAGACAGTGACAGGAGGGGAGAGGAGTTTCCTTCAGCTACAGGGGTCAGAGAAGTCAATCTGAGGAAGTGAGATGGAGACAAGAGCTGGTGGAAGAGAAAGGAATAGCCATGCAAAGATCTGCGGAAACGGCATTTCAGGAAGACAAAGGGCAGGTGTGAAAGCCCTTCTTTGAAAACAAGCCTATTGCCTCAAAGGACAGCATTGATCAGCTGGAGTGTAATGACGGGGAAGAGTGGCAGGGGCTGGTGACAGATATGAAGCAGCATGCTACACCCAGGGATGCCAGGGATGCAAACCAGCCACAGCAAATTTTCTGAACAATTAAGAGATGATGTATAGGTGTTGGCTGAGCCGGCCTCGTGAAAGATCTTGTGTACTAAGCCGAGGCACTTGGCCTTTAACCTGAAGGTGAGAAAAGTCATTGTGGCCAGAATGCAAGGGAGTAACAGGGTGGGAAGCTCACTGGAAGGGAAGAGGCAGGATGGCAAGGGACATCCTCACAAGGCCAAATTGCAGTCGTCCTAGGAAAAAAGTGCCAAGGGCTTGAGTTTAAAATGGTGGTATTGGGGCGCCTGGGTGGCGCAGTCGGTTAAGCGTCCGACTTCAGCCAGGTCACGATCTCGCGGTCCGTGAGTTCGAGCCCCGCGTCGGGCTCTGGGCTGATGGCTCAGAGCCTGGAGCCTGTTTCTGATTCTGTGTCTCCCTCTCTCTCTGCCCCTCCCCCGTTCATGCTCTGTCTCTCTCTGTCGCAAAAATAAATAAACGTTGAAAAAAAAAATAAAAAATAAATAATAAAATAAAATGGTGGTATCTGAGATGGAAAGAAGGGACAGTTTTCAGATATATTAAAAAGGTAAAAGAGGGGCGTCTGGGTGGCTCAGTAGGTTAAGTGTCTGACTCTTGATTTCGGCTCAGGTCATGATCTCATGGTTCGTGAGTTCGAGCCCTGTATTGGGCTCTGTGCTGAGAGCTCGGAGTCTAGAGCTGCCTTGGATTCTGTCTCCCTCTCTCTCTGCCCCTCCTCCCCCTCAAAAAAGTAAAATAAAATAAATTTAAATTTAAATTTAAATAAAAAGGTAAGACAGACTGGACATAATGAACAATGGAATGTGGGGCGAGAATGTGATGTGGAAGCAGGGAGATGCCAGGACATAGCCTGGTTACTGTCCTCAACCTGAGCACATCACTTAGAAATTGAAACTTCCAGGTTAAATATAGACCATTTACCCCTCATGCACAGATGAGGGCTCTCTCCCGGATTCTTCTCTTCCATCACTACCTGCTCCTGGTCCACCACCAGGCCTCCAGGATCCTTTGTCCAAGCCTGACCGCTTCCCAGTCCCATTTTTAGGGGCCCCAAGGCCATCACACCAGCCGAGAGCCTCCAAGTCCTTTTAACAACCCTTGCATCTATCCGAGGGCCTCACTACCCACTCCAGAGTGAATGGCACTCAGTGGAGCAATCAACTGATTGCAAGCAGCAGAAACATAAAGTGAAGTTGAAATAGACTGTATGAATCATCCAGAGATAATGGGCCAAGGGTCTCCAGCCAGGTGAGCAAGAGAGCAGACTTCAGGTGACCCAGAACAACCACCTCTCTGCAAAGTACAATGACCTAAGAGCACACATGGAATCATATTGACCTGGGTACAAATTTATCTCTCCTGTCTCCTTATCTGTAGAATGGGGATAACAAGGAGATCCCCATCATAATAATTGCTCTAGGGTCTAGATTCAGTGATGCGTGGCACATGGTAGGCACAGTGTTGCTTTGATACTAAAAAGAGAGCAGTATCTCCCTACGACTTAATGAGAATGTATCCGTTCATCATTGATCCCCCAGACCCCCAAATCCCAGCAAGGACTTTCTCCTTCACCACTGTCCACTTGCGTGAGTAACCCTCAAGCTTTAGCATCACCTTGACTTGGAGTCAAAAGCTCCCCTGGGGAGGTGGGACACGAGGCAGGGCCAACTATACTCTGGTGATGCGAGCAACCCAACACGAGGCCAGCAGCAGACAGGAGACTGGCCTGCCTCACCAACTGTGGAACTCAGACACCCTCTGCTGTTTGCTGACCAGTGGATTTGGAGATGGCAGGTTGGTAGGGAGGGGCGGTCAACATCCCAGTCATCTCTTCTCCCTGGGAGACGCCAACCGTGCAGAGAACTGCAGGGTTCTCTGAGTCCTTTCCAGAAGAATCTACAGTCTCAACTCAGGGCTTAAACTCTCAGACATCACCTCAGATACTCCTCTTGCCACCACATCCACAGTGATCCTGAGACTCTGCCCACCTTCCTCCTTCAGACACATCCATCCTGAGGACTCTGAGCTCGAGGTGAGTGGGAGACAGCGCCGCCTCCTTCAGAGCTTCCCACATATTGAGGAAAGCAGAGAAGTACGGTGTGCTGCCTGAAAGCCATCCACACCCTCCACCCAATCCTCCAGCCTCCCGGCAAGGGTCAGCAGGACCAGGGGTAACTTCCTTACCCAGGCTGGGGTGGCCACCAGCACTTGAAGCTCTTGCCACTAGAGGACACTGGAGAGCAGGGTGAGAACCTAGCTGAAGCCCAGGGTGGTGGTCTCCACTCACCACCCACCACCCCTCCTTGGCTTCTGCCAGTGTGTTAACAGTCACCAACTGGAGGGCCAGGGCACTGTGGCCACACCTGTGACCAGAGTCACAGAAAATAAATGTCCCAAGGACCCTCCCAGATAAGCCAGGGGTACACCACACCAGACCCGGGTAAGGTTACCAGATAAAATATAGGACACCTAGCTAAGTTTGAGTTTCAGGTACATAACACATAGTGGTTTTTTTTTGTTTTTTTTTTTTTCAACGTTTATTTATTTTTGGGACAGAGAGAGACAGAGCATGAACGGGGGAGGGGCAGAGAGAGAGGGAGACACAGAATCGGAAACAGGCTCCAGGCTCTGAGCCATCCGCCCAGAGCCTGACGCGGGGCTCGAACTCACGGACCGCGAGATCGTGACCTGGCTGAAGTCGGACGCTTAACCGACTGCGCCACCCAGGCGCCCCAACATAGTTTTTTAATATAAGTGCATTCCATGCAATATTGGAGACACGCATGTTGTAAAATATATTTGTTGTGTATCCAAAATTCAAATTTAACTCAAGCATCGTGTTTTGGTTATCGTTTTTTGCTTAGCTAAATCTGGCAAACCTAGATCCAGGTAGAGGGTCTAGGAAACTCTACCAGGCATGGGCAAGGGAGGCACTGACCCCCTCCTCCGCCCCCCCACCAGGCCTCCAGAAATGGAAGCAAGACTTCCATGGTAGGCTTTCTGGAGCCCACCTGCAGCCCAGCCCGGCTGGACGGTGAAGAAACCCTGAGATGCTCTGGCTCTGACATGCCATCAGGAAACGCAGCGATAGCAGAGAACCACACTTGGGTTAAACCACTCTTTATTGGTTGGCTTGTCTTCCCAAGCCTGCATCAGAGACCACACCACATCTCCCAGCCTGCTGTGCGTGGCCCGGTCCATCCACAGAGGATCCTACAAGTCACAGCCATCCACCCAGTCCTTGAGGTCCTTGCCCTGGCAGTGACGCCTCCAGGCCTCCCTGAGGGTGAGGGATGGGGAAGAGGAGAGACCAAATCAGCTGCAGCCTTTAGTCCCTGCTCAGAGAAGAACAGGAAGGAGGTGTGGGCTCTAAACCAGAAGTGAGGTAAGGAAAAGGGCTAGAAAGGGAAAAAGGGACAAGTAAACCCCATTAACTAACAAAGAAGGGGTAAAAAGGGAAGACAACGGCCCTTAAAAAGTCATCTGTCTAGGCTCCTTATTTTACCAATAGAGATACAAGGTAATTTGTTCAAGTTCACCAGGAAGGCAGGGGCAAAGGCCTGGACTCCTGGCGTCCATAGCCCTAGTCCAGTGCTCTTTTCTTACACCATGATCCTTCTGCTGACAGTAATGCCACCTTACAAGCGTACAGCCCTTTACAGTCTACATAACACTGTCCTATCCCTCACTCATTTGTCTGCACTCCCCCATCCTCGGCAGCCCTACAACATAGATTAAGCAGGTATCATGTTCCCTATACTCCAGATCAAACACTGAGACTCAGATGCAAATTACTTGCCCAAGATCCGTAGCTAGTAAATGACAGAACTATAGCCACAGCCACGTCTCTTTGGCTACCAGTTCTGGTCTTTCAATTGTTGGTAACTATAGTTTACGGGCTCTTTCAGCACCATTACCTTGCTCCTGCCTCACATTAGCATCTTGAGGAAGGAAGATAAACAAGATCCTGGGGTGCTGCAGTCAGTCCCAAGTTGTCAGGGTTCCAAGCTTTGGTAACTCCACGATGTCAATGTCAAAGAGCCCAATGACCAATTGTGCCCCTAAAGGGCCTCTATACATCCATCAATGAAGTGTGGTCACCTGGCTTGTTTGTCTCTCCCATTAGACTGTGAGACCCTCGAAGACAAAGACTTGGATCTCAGCCTCTCTGAAGCCCAGCACCCAGCACAGAACCTGGCACTCTCAGTACGTGCAGGTGAAAGAAATAAACCGTCTTTCTACTTTCTGGAACCACAGCCTGTTATTAGCCTCAGCCACATCTCAGGGGTGATACCTGACATCAATTTACTCCCAGTGCATAAAAGAGCTGTTCTTTCCTTTAACCCAAAAGGACCCATGTCTTCCATCCCAGGGTGGGGTATCCAAGGCCTCAAACCCTTAGACTCCTGCCGAGCCTGCACTCACCCTTCCTAACCTTATAGCTGTGTGTTATGTCCTGCCGATCCTGCCCCACTCCAGATTCTGGTCCTGGAATGTCAACTGTTCCCAGGCCAACACATCTCCAAAGCTGTAGCCATTGTCAAGGCACACCCTGAACCTTCTTTAGATTCACAGTCATTTCTACCTTGTCCTCTCCCTCACTGCCACATATCATCTGTCCCCATGCCTCCTCCACAGCCCTCCTAGCCAACCCCCCTCCTGTCCATCACCCCTGCAACTGTCCTAGTGCAGACCCTGGATCTCTCACCTGGACTCCTGCAAAGGCTTCCCTCACCATCCCCCTACTTCTAGTCTCTCTCCCTTCCCTCCACTCCTGGGCTGACATTCACTGCCTCCCAGACTGCTTTACCTGCCTTGTGACAGTCACATCTGTCTGTAGTTCCGAGGCTGCGGCCACCTAGTGTATTTCACCCTCCCCACATTCCGCCCCTGCTGGTCTCTCATCCAGAAACGTGGGGAAAGGGAGGTTGGAGACTAAGCAGTGAGACCCCCATCAGAGAAGGCTGTAGCGCCACTGCCTCAGACGCCGCTCTGCGAACCAAAGATCTAGTCCAGTGCCCCATGAGATGCTCATCCAACTCCCTTGCCTGTGAGGATGGTGGCTGCAAAGGCCATCTTGTGGGAAACAGGCAGGAAAAGAGAAAGTTGACAGGATGAGGCTCTGGGGCGCCCACCCATGCTTCAAGCAAGGAATTGCTTCCTTGATCCGTCATGCATCTTGGGCTTTTCTACCAAAGTTAGTTTAGATGAAGATGCCACAGTTAAAGAAGCAAACAGATGGACAAGGTTGGCTAGACCCGGGTCTGGCGGACCTGTAGGCAGGCACCCTAACATAGGCACATTTTGGGAGAGCCAGGCTTGTGTCCATGAGCTGCAGTGAATTCCTCACCCTTCCTGACACTCAGTGAGTTGTCTGTAAATAGCGATCTCTATGGTCAAAAGTCACGTGCAAAGTAGATTGTGAAGCCAGGGAACGGTGGCCAAGACAAAGTGAACACTCAGAAAAGAAACTTCCCTCTTGCTGTCCACTAGTCCTGGCCACATCACCCAGGAGGGTTCCAGACCACGTCACTTACCAGCTGGCCAGCCCCTGGGGCTGTTGAGCTATCTTCATGGCACAGATGACAGTGTCCTTAAGGTTAGGATTCAGCAAGTCTGGGGTGGGAGGCAGAGAAACATGATGAGGGAACAGGGGACAGAGCTAGACATCCACACTCTGTTTCTCTCTCTCTTACACACACATACACACACACACGTGCCTTCCACAATCCTAAATGCAATCCTGTCTCTCAATCCCTGTCACTGTATCACTCCCCTCCCCACATTCCTATATCTCTCAGAACAGTCTCCCATCTGGGACCCCAAATCAGATTCATGGAGGACCCATGCTCATCACTTGCCCCATCCCACTCTCCTTGAGAGGCCCAGAGGGTCTCCCACTCAGATTCCCACTCAGAGATAAAGGCAAGGGGAGCAAACCACCCCAGGAAAGAAGCAAAGGCAGGTGCAGAGGCCTGGCCCCAGGCAGCCCCAAGCTCAGGCCCGACCCTACCGGAGCAGTACATCTGGCACCAGTTGGGGACATCTGTGCTGAGATTTTTGCACCACTTCCGGCTGCTGATCTGGAAGATGCCATTGTTGGTGCTCCCATCGGCTTCATGGTCCACAGCAGCTGTATTGAAGCCACTTGTGAAGTAAGCAAGACAGACCCCTGCATAGGGTAGAGACGCGGGCCTGAGGGTCAGATGACTGAGGCCAGCACAGACCAGGACACTCACGGTGCTGACGCCACACAGTAGCTCCTCTGAGCCTCAGCTCCTGCTTCAAGGTGGTCAGGGCTGCCGGACTCCCACCTACTTTGCAAATGACTCCATCAAGGCTCAGGGGAGCAAGTGATTCACTCAAGGTCACCACAGCTACCAAAGAGCAAGAGTCGAGACTGTTACCTCAGGCCTCCTGACTCCTAGAGCAGCCTCCCTGCTACCTTACCACTCAGCACACAGTGGGGCCCAAGAAATCTTTGTGGGCTGAATGAACAAGAGCCAGATCTTTAGAGGCAAGACGAGGAAGACACAGCTGAGCTAGCAAGGAGGCAGGCAATAGAAAAAAAAAAAAAAAAAAAAAACTAGATGAGTCCAGATGTGGCTGGACTTCACAGCTTCCCAAAAATCTACCAGCAGCTTGAAAAGTTTGGTTTTACTGGTTTGCTCAGTCTACCCTGAAAGTCAATGGGACTATCCTATCCTCTTGGTGGCCATTATGATTAGGGTACTAAGCTATTCTGTTCCCTTGGCAGGTGACCTTAGCAGCAGGGGTAGAGGATGAAGGAGAATGCTGACCGGGCTGCTTGTGGCCTGCCTCTAATGTATCGAACTTGTGCTGAGTGTCACCTACCCATCATAGAACATTTGATGTCCAAAGGAGAGCTGAAGCTCAGAAAACTGCCAAGGCCACACTCCCTGAGTGAGAGCGGGGAGGGAGGCTAGGAGGAAGGGGAGGCACCTGGGGGGAGTCTAGGGCAGCCTGGAAGGGAGAGGGGTTCTCACAGTCAGCCATGCTGTATCCCCGGTATCCCTCCATGCCGAAATCCTGGAGGGCTCTGGCCAGCTCACAGCGACTGTAGACCTTGGCCTGGCCGGAGGTGAGCAGGCAGCTGAGCAGAGTGGCAAAGGCCAGCAGCATGATGCCCGGCGGGCACAGTTGCCTTCTGAGGGCCCAGCTCCTGGCTTCCATGCACAGCCCCTGCCACGCTGGCTCACAGCTGGGTTTTGAGATGGCAGACAGCTCAACAGCCCTGGCTGTCCAGTCACAGAAGGTTACCCTTTGGAAGAAAAAGAAAACCAGGGCCTGAGCATACCTGGGGAAAGGGGCAGAAGGCTCCGACATTGCAAATCAGCTCCCTTGCGGCCCTGACGAAGCATCAGCCACGCCTCTGAGATTCGAGATCCAGGAGAGGGTTCCCTAAGGCCATCTCCTCTCCATCTTGCTCTATCCTTTCGCCAGCAGCTGAGAGGGGAGGCCACATGGGGAAGAACATGAGCCTATTTGGAGCTCCATACCACCTGCCAGGCATGATCGAATCCCAAAGCCCTGTGTTACACAACTAGGAAGGGGCAAAATTTGGAATGAGACCAAAGTTTACAGGACTCCAGAGCTCCATGAGTTATGGCCATGAGCACGTGTTTCCGGAGGGCAAGGGCCCAGCAATGTCATCACAGTGTAAGTCAGTCCCTAAAACCTGGCCATCAGAGGAAGTCTTTCCTAGTGCTGAGCCTGGACTGAAATAAAGTCCGCCGTACAACACTGCCACCCAGCAGCCCTCCCAATGGGGCAGCCCTTTCACATACACATGGCCCCGAGGTGGTACTGAAACTCTCCTGTGTGCCCACCACCCTTTCTAAACCATCACCTTGCAAAAGCCTCTTTCCTTTGAAGCTCTGACCTCGGTTCCTTTGGCTTGCCTCTCAGCTCTGGCTCTGTTGGCCAGACCTCGATATCATGGAGGACATTCGTCCCTGGTTATGACCTCCACTCTGTCTCAGCCACCCACTCCCATGGCCTTGCCATCCCTGCTTCTTACCCCCTCCCCTCCTCCGGCAACCCTCCATTCCAGTGTCTCCTTGACTCCAACCCCTGACACATCTTCCCACCTCTCCTGTGACCTCTATCCCACCACACCTTCTGTCCACCTTCAGAGATAGACACACAAACCTCCACACACCTCACAAAAGGGTGTCCCTGAAAACCCCTGACCTCCAACCCCAATGGGCCTTCAAGCCATTGAGGGTGACAAGTGGATTAAGGGTGGGGCTTCTCAGTGAGCCCTGAGTTTGAACCCCACCTCCTCACTGCTCAACATCTCTGACTTTGGACACTTCCCAAGCCTCATTTTCTTCAGCTATGCGACGAGCAAGTGAATAATACCTGCCTTGTAAGACTGTTGAAAGAATGAATGAGAAGAGAAAGGCACGGGGAGAACTTAGCTCTTTGTGCTAAAAATAGGTTAGTTATTTCTATTATGGAGTATTTCTGGCACCAGCACTAATGCTTGTCCTTGGCCAGCTTTCTCTCTCCCATTTCCCTCAAAGAGTATTCAAGACGCTCATGGCTGTCCGCAAGCCTCCTCCCCTCCCTGACCCACCCCCAAGCTCCCAGAAGACCTCACCTCCTGCCTCACTGAGGCAGCAGTAGCCTCATCCTGCTCACCTCCACCCCTCTAGCCTGACCATGCGTCGCCCCAGCGCTTGTCAAGGTCTGTCGCATCTGAGAACTCCAGATTTCACCCTTTCCTGCCTCTCAACCTTGCCCCATGGATCACCTCTCCTCTCTTGGGGTCCTCGGCACCTCCTCCTACCGCCTCTCCTTCCTCTGATGCATGGATGCGCTTGGGTCTCATCATTATCTATACTGACTGGTCTCTTTCCCTCTCTTCTCATGGAAACGTCTATGGGAAAAATTACCCCTTTCTCACCTCCCCTTGTGCTTTCAGCCCCATGACGGTTAGCTTCAGCACCACCACCACTCGCCTGAAACTGTTCTGCCCAGTTCAATGGGCCTTGTCACTTCTTGTCCCACGGGGGCCCTCAGCAGCCCCTCTCAGTGCTGACCAATTCACCTGTGGCCTCTCTTCCTTCTCTTGGCTTCCATGATGCCCCCTCTCCTGGGTCCCCTGCTTCTTCTCAGGCTATTTCTTCTGATTCCCCTTTGTGGACTCCACTCTGCCTACGTCTTAAGTGCTGGCATGCTCGTCAGCCTTTTTCCCTCCTCTCTTTCACGTCAGGATACCCTGTGGACAGCCCCACTGTGAACTGCCACCCGCGGCTGATGACGTCGTATTCCGTCTTCCCCAGAACGGTAGACGTCCTGTGCAGCTGCCTCCTGGACATCTCCACTTGGATATCCCACAGTCACCTCAGACTAAGCATGTCCAAAACAGAACTGATGTCCCCACTAAAATCTGCTTCCTTTAAGTCTTCATTTCTGGGTTTCAAACATTCTTGGCTTTAAACACATTTATCCAAACTAGAAATATGGATGGCATTCTTCACTCCTTCTGTCACTAACCCCCTTCACCCTTCCCTAACCATAGATCCCAACGTGCCACTGATTGTACCCTCCCTCCAAGAGTTCAGACCACCATCACGGCATGCTGGTGGGCTCCTTACATCTAGTCCTGACTCTTCTTCCGAACTGTTCTACACACATTTGCCACCATGAGTTGTTTTTTTTTTTTTAAACAAAAAGCCTGGCCACCTGACACCCTGCGTTGGCTCCCTTCATCATTGCTCCTAGGCATGGTCCACAAGGCCCCTGGTGACCCAGCCATGTGGACCTCTTTTCGCTCACACAGTGAGTTCCTGTAATGCCATACCGTTCGCTCGTGGTGATCCCACTGTCTGAAGCAGTAGCCCTCTCCTTCCTTTCCATGGCTAACTCTTACTATACTTGAAGGGTCACACCAGAGCTGAGTTCTCCAACACCCCCACACTCCTCGAGCACCCTGTGCCTCTGCTGTCCCTCTGTCACACTGGACTGTAATATGCATGAGTCTTTCCCACCATGAAGTGAACTTCCAAAGAACAATGGCCATCTTGTTTCTCTTCACATCCTAAGCGTCAAGCAGAGCTGCTGGTTTGGAGTGGCGGCTTAAGCTGAAGTATCCTGAGGTCCTGACCCCAACAGCCTGAACCCTCCCCAGCAAAGTTGGAGGCGGGGAGGTCAGGAGTCAGGGGAACCTCACTGAGTTCTCCAAACCTGACAGACACTGAGCTGGGCCTTTCCTGGATGTTTTCTAACTTAATCTCATCTAATCTTCTCAACAACTCGAGAGGCGTAGGAGTAATATCCCCCTTTATGGATGAAGAAACCAAGTTGACTGCTACATGGAGATTGTTTTTGACTTTTTGTAGCCAAGAGATTTAAAACTAATTTCATCTTGAGGGTTTCACGGCAGGTCAAGGTGTACAAGGAGTGAGGTCTGATAATTCAGAGACCAGACACCCACCAGCAAGGTCTCTCTCTCTCTCTCAGCAGGGTGCTCTCCCAGCCCAGGACTAACCCCCCTCCATTTCTGACCACGACCTTTCTTTTTCCATGCCCCTCTCTGACCAGGCCAGCCAGGGACTGCTTAACAGCTGCAGAAAGAGGGGAAGGGGGCTCACTGATCAGGTGTCGTCCCCACCAGAGCTGACACAGCAGTGACAGTGGCGGCAGCAGCAGTGACCCAACACCCTGCTTCAGCTCAGGACACCACCATGATAGTGCTAGTGCCCCAGGCACCCAGCTTTAAGAGAACGATGCGGGAGGGCAGGCTCCAGACTGACCTAGAGCCTTCTGGAACCTCCCAGTTCTGTGACCTCATCTTCTAGAACCATCTTCGCCCACTGAGCTTCAACTGGCCCCCTGAACCCCTCAATTTCGGGACTGGGAACATGTTAGGAGTAGCTAGGCCCAACCCTTCTTGGCCATCTACACACACACACACACACACACACACACACACCACAATATGTTGAAGGATGACTCCTCAGCTCCCGACAGGACCCTTCAGGTGGTTGCCCAGGGACGACAATGGCAGGTGCACACCGCCCCCTCAGGCAGCCTCCCTCACCGTCAAACTGCTCGCACTGGCAAAAAGTTCTTCCTTAGTGCTGAGCCACAGAAGGCCTGCCTTCTGCATCTGAATGATGACAGTTCAGTGTGGACAAGCCAAGGACAAAGGTGATGCCGCGGACCCTAAAGCTTGAGGGACAAAGACGTGAAGTGGAAGGACACGTGACACCTGTGTCTGTGCCCCACAGGGAAGTCTTTTTCTGTGATCAGTTCATTTCACTTGTTAATTCAAGGTAGTTAACATGCAGTGTAGTCTTGGCTTCAGGAGTAGAACCCAGTGATTCATCTCTTACATATGACACCCAGTGCTCATCCTCACAAGTGCCCATCACCCCTTTAACCCCTCCCCCCATGCCTCCAGCAACCGTCAATTTGTTCTCTGGCTGAATAGCACACCATTGTGTGCATATACTACATCTTCTCAAACCATTCCTCTGTGGAGGAACATTTAGGTTTTTCCACATCTCAGCTGTTGTGAATAACGCTGCAGTGAACACGAGAGTGCTAATATCTTTTTGAGATCCCGATTGCAATTATTTCAGAAAAATACCCGGAAGTGGGACTTCTAAACCATACGGTCATTTCATTTTTACTGTCTTCCACTGTGGCCGCACCGTCTTGCATTCCCACCAACAGCGTAGGAAGGTTCCAATTTCTCTACATCTTCACCAACGCTTTGTGGTCCTTTGTTTTTAGATAAGAGGCATCCTGATAAATATGAGGTGATATCTCCCTTGCAGTTTTGATTTGCATTTCTTGAATGATTAATGACATTAAACGTTTTGTGTTTTTGTTTTTGTTTTTGTTTCACATATACCTGTTGACCATTCGCATGTCTTCTTTGGAGAAAGGTCTTTTTGGCATCAGTATTTCTTTAAAAAATTTTTTTCTTAATGTTTATTTTTGAGAAAGAGAGAGATACACACAGAGTGTGAGTGGGGAAGGGGTAGAGAGGGAGACACAGAATCTGAAGCAGGCACCAGGCTCTGAGCACTCTGCACAGAGACTAACGTGGGGCTCAAACTCATGAACCTCGAGATCATGACCTGAGCCGAAGTCGGACACTTAACCAACTGAGCTACCCAGGTGCCCCATGGCATCAGTATTTCTTAAAGGCTCCCCAGATGACTCCAGTGTGCAGCCAGGCTTGAGCCTTCAGAGCTCTGGACTTGAGCTAAGTACACCCAAGTTCAATGTCTTGCTCTGCCC